GATTCAAAGCACACATGATCATTTTACCCACTCTCCTTCTCCTGGATTCCTATCCCTGACATCAGAAATGTATCTGCATCCAGGTCTGGTCTTCAGGCTTCCCTCTGTCTTGAAGGGCACAAAATATCATTCTCCCCAAGAATATCCCAAGGGGATCAATGATCACCTCCATAGCCCCCCAACTCATCAATCTCTCCTTTTCTCTCTTTTTTTTTTTTCCTAAGTACATATAGGAGCTCTGGTGTTGTAGTGTGCCTAAGGCATTTGACTGCTAACCAGAAGGCTGGCGGTTCAAATCCACTGGCCACTCCTTGGAAGGAAAGTTGAGCAATCTACTTCCTCAGTGATACCGCCTCAGAAACCAAAGGAGGGGGCGTCGCTAAGAGTCAGATCCAACTCAACAGCAGTGAGTTTGGTTTGGTTTATGTTCTGGTTATCTAGTACCGCTCTGACAAAAAATATACCACAAATGTGATGGCTTTAACAAACAGGAGTTTATTCTCTTACAATTTGGAAGCTTTAAGTCCGAGTTCAAAGTGCCAGGTTCTAGGGGCTGGGTGAAAGCTCCTCAGCCTTGGGCTTCAGCTCTGCCTCCTGTTCCCAGCTCACTAGGACAGCTGCTGGCTGCTAAGACTGACAAACCCAAGGTTGACAAGTAAAAAGACACAGTCCTGATGTCACCAAACCACACAGCTGACCATTAATTCAAGTCCATCAAAAGTCCCAAGATTGGCAGAGCATTGAAGGCCACTGAACACCACAGCAACACGTGGGGTTCAAGCATGTTATAAACTGGAGACCATTCCCAAAGTTGTTTCTTATATATGGGAAGCAGACCACATACCCAAAGGCAGCTACTCAGCTGCTCTAATAGATTCCACCATGGAGCTGATTGCCAGTCTCATCATGGGAAATACTACATCCAACTGCCCAGTCACTCAACTAGGCCCAGCCAAGTTGACACACAAATATAACTACCACAGTTTAGAAGTACGTATGATATTCTGAAAAATAGCTCCTTTCTTAAAAACAAGAAAACTTTCCTTAACAATTTGTTGCCATCTTGCTACCTTAGCTGTTTCCTGGCCTTCAAAGCCAAGCTTTATTAAAGCATCACAGACTATCATCATACCAAAACTTCACCCTCTGTTCTCATTTCAGCTTACTGCACTTGGGCTTCCATCTCCACCACCCTACCAAGACAGCTCCTGTCAAGATCACTAGTGACCTTCTTATTGTGCAATCCTACCCCATTCTCATTCCTTACCTTAAATAACCTCTTGGAAGCATTTGGCACCACTGACCACTTCTTTAAAAATTTTTTTTTAAACTTTTACTGTGATTTGGGTCAAAGTTTACAGAACAAATTAATTTTCCATACAGCAGTTCATACACATTTTGTTTCATGACATTGACTGCAATTCCCCATCATGTAAACAGCTCTCTTCTCACTTACTCCCTGTAGTTAGCTCTTCCTTGTGTCCTTCTTCCCTATGCATTCCTGCTCCCCTGAGCTATCTCCCTGTGTAAACACTGCCCTTCTGTTCTCCCACGATTGATCACTCTAAGAAATGTATCTATCTGATGTAAATGTTCACCTTTTACACCTATCTATTGTTTGGCTGGAAGCCACAGGAGTGAATTCTATTCCAGATCTGAAGGGTAACTAGGAGCCACGGTCTCAGGGGTCTCACCAGGCTCTGTTAGACAAGTAAACCTGGTCTTTTTTCATGATTTTGAGTTTTGTTCCATATTGTTCTTCAACTCTATCCAGGATCTCCTGCACCGATCCCCCTCTGAATGCCTGACAGTGGTAGCCAGGCACCACTTAGTTCTTCTGGTCTCACGGTCATATAGGCTGAGGATCACATTAGTCTACTAGTCCCTTGGATTAATTGTTTCCATGCATCTTTGGCTTTCTTCATTCTTCTTTGCTCTGGACAAAGAGATACCCTTGGCTGCTTGCAAGCTTTTAAGACTCCAGTCACTATTCACCAAAGCAGAATGTAGAACAATGTTTTTGTGTAGCATGTTATGCCAATTGAGCTTGATGTTCCCTGCAACTCTAGTCCTGAGCCCACAGGTCCAACTACTAATTCCCTAAAGGTGGTTGGCTGTGGCCAAGAAGTTATCATAACTTTGCCCCTTGTTAGCTCTGTTATATGTTTGGACAGTCTTATAGCACAAGCAAATTCATATGCAGAAATATTGTCTGCCCACCTTATATATGGTCATGGGTATATTCCCTTTCACGTACACACACCTGACCATTCAGCCTGTTTATCTATCTATTTACCTGTAGATTAATGTTTATCACTGATAATGCAGTATTATATATGTAAAAGGGTTTATCTTTGTTGTCTGTATCTCCTGTGTACCTCTCTGTGTCTTCCTCTTCCTCAGTGCTACCATGTTGATCACTCACTTTTAGTACATTACCCTTCCTTTCACCCAAATCAACACTTATCTCTACCTATCTAACAGTGTTTCCTCCCCTTCTCTCCCACTCCTGGTAACCAACAAAGAAAGTTTCCTTCCACATATAAACCTTTCCTTGACTTTTTACAATAGTGAAAACAATAAAAACACTCACTGCCTTCAAGTCAAATCTGACTCATAGAGATCCCTCCTTGGGTTTCCAAGGCGGTATCTCTACAGAAGTGTCTGGTAGGTTTGAACCACCAGCCTTCTGGTTAGCAGTCACATGGCTTAGGCACTACACCACCAGAGCTTACAATAGTGAACTAATACAATACTTGTCCTTCTGTTATTGACTTATTTCACTCAGCATAATGTTCTCCAAGTTACTACATTATATGGTAGTTTTCAGATTCTTACATTATTTTTCAGTGTTGCATAATATTCCGTTGTGTGTATGTCCCATAGTTTGGGTAACCTTTCTTCTATTGATGGGAACTCTTTGCTTCCATCTCTTCGCTATTGTGAATAGCACTGTGATGAACATGGGTATGTATACATCTGTTTGTGTCTTGCCTCTCACTTCTTTAGGATTTATATCTAGTAATGGGAATGCTAGATCAAGTGATATTTCTATTTTCAACTTCTTAAGGAATCACCATACTGCTTTCCACAGTGGTTTTATCATTTTACAGTCCCCCAGCAGTGATTGAGTCCCAATCTCTCCATATCCTCACCAGTACTTATTATTTTCTGTGTTGTTGAACTTGCTACCAGTGCTGGGTGAGATGGTTTGATTTGCATTTCTCTAATGGCTAATGATCTCGAACATTTTTTCATGTATTTGTTGGCTGCCTGAATATCTTTTTTGGTGAAGTGTCTATTCATATTCTTGGCCCAGTTTTTAATTGGGTTGTTTGTCTTTTTGATGTTAAGGTGTTGGAATTTTCTATAAATTTTAGAGATAAGTCCCTTGTCAGGTACATCATTGGTGAATATTTTTCCCAACCTGCAGGTTCTCTTTTTAGTCTTTTGGAGAAGTCTTTTGAAGCACATAAGAATTTAACCACTGAGTTCCAGGGTTCCACCTACTAACTACAAAAACAAACCAAACCCACTACCATCAAGTTTATTCAGACTCATAGCAACCCACATGGGGTTTCCAAGGCTGTAAATCTTTACAGAAGTGGATTGCCTCATCTTCCTCCTGAAGAGTACCTGGTGGGTTTGAACCATCAACCTTCTGGTTAGCAGCCAAATGCTTTATCTCCTATAACACCAGAGCTCCTTAACTACTACTTAGACACTGACAAATCTCAAACATAAATGCTCACTCAGGGCACTGAGTTTTGATGACAATATCCAATAGCCTAATGAAGAGCTCCACGTAAACTTCCCACAAGCATTTCAAAGTTAACACGTCCCAAACTTAACTCACAATCTTTGCCCCAAAACCTGTTCTTTCTCCTGTATTCCCTACTGTATTCTCTACAGAAGTATCTGGTAGGTTTGAACCATCAGCCTTCTGGTTAGCAGTCAAATGCCTTAGGCACTATACCACCAGAGCTTACAATAGTGAACTAATACAATACTTGTCCTTCTGTGATTGACTTATTTCACTCAGCATAATGTTCTCCAAGTTAATCTACATTATATAGTAGATTAACATATAACATGTCCTTCTGTGAACATGTTCCTACATGCTCACAATATGTGCCATTACCTGTGTCCTAGCACACTCATTTGACCAGATCGCAAGCGAGACAGCAGGAAACAGAGGAAGGATCCATAGACTCAAGAGGCAAAGTTTGTGATGGGTATAGAGTTTCTGTTTGGGGGATAAAAGTTTATGGCAGCAGTGATGGTTACACAACATTGTGAACACAACTAATGCCACTGAAATGTACACTTTCTTTTTTTTTAAAGAGTTGAGATTCAAATCCAATTTCTGTTAACAAGCTGTGTAATACAAACAAGTTATTTAGTCTCTGAGCCTCAGTTTCCTCATGTCTGGGACATGGGGACTAAATCACCTATGCCACAGGCTTGTGAAGGGTCTGTAAGATATCTTATATGATAGTGTTCTAGATCCTTCGAAGAGTCAGTGCTGAATCCAGAATCATGATAGAAAAATCCCAATTCACACCTATTACTTATTTTAAGAGTGCTCTGGTAGTGTAGTGCCTAAGACCTCTGCTTACCAGAAGCTGGCAGTTCAAACCCACTAGCCACTCCTCAGAAGGAAGATTGGGCAATCTACTTCCATAGTGATACTGCCTCAGAAACCCAAGGAGGGGTCACTGAGTTGGATCCAACTCAATGGCAGTGACTTTGGTTTTTGGTTCCGTTAACCATCTTCATGGGTAGAGTCACATCTTCCTTGTTCTCAGTGTTTTCCCCCACAAAGTCTTGGACAGGTCCCTGTATGGAGATTAATACCCTATGTGCAGAGAGGTAATGCAGGCTTCATAATGCTTATGTTCAGTCCACCGACCTGGGCTATGCAAACAATGATGTTTTAAAATGAGGAGTAAAAAGGACTATGCAGGTTGGGGAATAAGGTGAGAGCAGGAGTACCTTACCTTTGCACTGCAAGCCCTGCCGCAGCAGGCCCCAGAGCAAGGACCCACAGTGGTCGCAGAAGGTGGGGACCTTGTAGTTGTGGATACCAAACTTGTGGGGCATGTTGACACTGAACCGCTGGGAGCCTACCTGCAAGGACAGTAAAACACGCAGTCACCTCCAAGCTCTATAGTGCCTTATGGTACATTTGATAGGAGCACATACAGAACTTCTTCCCTAAAAAGCCAAATCATTGTAGGTGACAGACCCTGGCTTGGCTGACAGTAGCCCTGAGAAACAAGGTGAAGAGTGTCTCCTCCCTTTCCCACAGCCTAGGCTCATGGTACCTTTAACCCATTCTTTGCCGCTCTGTTTGACTTTTCAAGGCCAGGTATTCTCTTCCACACAGCCCCCTACAGGACTTCAGCACTCAAGTTGCCATTTATGAGATGTCCCCATGGGCTTGCATTGCTGTTTTGTGCATGGAAGCCTCAGACACACAGACTTTCGGCAGCTTTTTGTTGGAACCTATGTTCTTGTACCCAGCAGGGTGCCTTGGAAACAGTGGGTCTTCAATTAAGGCAGACAATCCTTATGATAAAGATTATTAATACAAAGTGGTGACCACTAAGGGCATTACTGTATCAGTGCTGACCACATGTCAGGCACTTAATTATTATTATTTCAATTAAACCTCACCACTCCATTATGGGGTAGGCAACATTATTATTCTGATAGAAAGGGAAATTAAGGCAAAGTGAGATTTGGAAACTTACCTGTAAGATGATGAGTGGCAGAGCCAGGATTTGATCAGAATTCACAGCCAGGCTTTTCAGCCATTCTTCTACCATGTATTGTTTGTTTTAAAAAAATAAAAGGGGTCAAGATAAAAGGGGAAGGACCTGGGAAAAGAAGTTCAGGGACCTGATTTGTAGGCCTAGATTTGCCAGAACCATTCCTGAGGTCGCAGGTAAGTGTGCTGACTCCTTCAAGCCCCAGATTTTTCATCTAATAAATGAGGCTAGTACCCCTATCCCACATAACCTCACAGGGGGTCAGTGAGATAAGTGGAAGAGGAAGAAACAATATGTGTTGCATGGAAACCTGCAGGGAATTGCATCAACTGGCAGTTGATCCTTCAGGATCAACTATTATTCCTCTTGGTTTCCATTGTAATGGCACAGTTCCTGGCACACAGGAGGTGCTCAATAAATATTCATTGGAGGAAGGAGGACAGGAAGGAAGTTAGACAGCAAGCAAGCTATCTCTTTTCTTCATTTATTTGCAAATGTAATGAGGGTAACAATGGATTTGGGCTTGGATGCAAAACCAGGAATCAGAAGATCCTGCTAATGGTTTAGGATTTCAACCATGCCAGCAGAACCCCTCCAAAAACACTGGCACTGCACTCAGTCTTCCCTTCAGGTATTTGGAAGGCTCACAGTCTAACCCCTGTTCGTTGCTGCTTTTCAGAAAAGGTATGAAAGCAAAAGGAGATAAAAGATGGAAAATGCTTTGGATGCCAAGATGCTATTTGGTTGAATTATTTTAGAAGCAGGTAGAAGGTCTCTATAAAAGTTTCTGCTTCGGGAAGCCAAATTATAAACCCAGCTGATTATAAACCCGCTCTCTAGAGTAATACAAAACTGACCCCCTCATTCTAATGGCTTATTATTATAGTTTTTATATATTTATTTAATATATAATTAAAAGCACACCTTGAAAATCAACTGTCCTGATCATATACTTACATATGCACCTGCCATTTTCCTCAAAAAGTTTTTTTTTTTTTTTTTTTATTAGGATTTGGGTGAAGATTTACAGAGTAAATTCACTTTTCATACAGCAGTTCACATATACTTTTTTTTTTTTTTTTAAATCTGTAAGTGGTGCCACCATTCCCCCAATCTCTCAGTGAGGATAAACCTAGCTTCACTGTTGAGTTTTCTTGCTCTTTTAACCCTAGCAATTTCCCTAGTAGTCAACCCAGCACTAATTTCAAGATGAAGAGACAAAACAAGGTAATGGTCAAGGGCACAGACTCTGGAACAGACTCTCTGGGCCTGAAAGCAGCTTTTCACATACTCACCATGTGATTTCAGGCAAATTAATTGGACCTCTCTGTGTTGCTATTCTCTCTGCTGTAATGTGAGGGTGATAATAGCATTTACCTCATTCAGGTTATGTGATTTAGTATGTTAAAGCGCTTAAATGCATGTTAAGTTATCAATGCATTTTAAGTATTAGATGCTATTATTATTATTATTATTGTGATTATTTCTATCTCCTTACCATTTTTTTGATTTTCTAATCCCATCCCACTCTCCCAGCACCTCATAAAGAGCAGGTTCCTCATTTTGTACTGTGTCTGTATCACTGTTTATGAGTGGCATGGAGCCATTCACACATCCATTACCCACTTCAAGTGTTCCAATGAGACAATGCAGTAAAAGAGCCCACATTTTTCTGTGGGCTTTAGCTCTAGAATCATACTGCTCTGGACATGATATCTGCAGACATGAAACTGAGTTGGAGCCATGCTCATTCAGTACATTGTACCACATATCAGGTGACTCCTTTAATTTTTGATCAACATAATGAAGGAGACAGGATCTGAGAGAATAAGGTTTCTCTTGGGAACCATGGGGGAGGTGGCAGCAGAGGGAGAGGATGGTAAAGAGCGCCCAGAATGCCAATATTATAAATAGTTACCTCATCGGGAGTTTCCTGTTTCTTTAAACCAGCGCACTTTGTGATTATGAGCTCATGGCATCGCTTGTGGACCACGCACGTGCAAACTGCAAAAGGCAAAAACGGAAAGGCTGAGCAACAGGTATGCGAGAAAGTTTCCATCCCAAGATCTACTCAGGCCTTGGTGGAGGGCCGAGGGGGGCCATTCTGTCACCAAATCTTAATTTAATGCTTCCCCAAATCCTCTATGCAGTTCTTTCAAAGCACTGCTCCTTCAGAGTCATTAGGGTTTCTGAGATGCTCTGGAGAAGAATGAAACACTTATATTTAAAGGGCATCAAAGTTTTCCCTTGTTCCAGGGGCCCCCTCAACCAATTTTCTCACTTCTGATCCCAAGGTCAGGGATAACTGCCCTACCAGCACTTTCAGGGAGCACTGTCTGTCACAGTGGGCCTCACAGCCCTCTTTGTGGTTCCTCTCGGTACCACACCAGGATGGCTGTTGGGATAGGTTGGACTGTGAGCAGCATGTGAACAGGTGCTTCATGGCACAGAAATTTATATGCTTTCTTACATGCCCTTACATGCCAAATTTTAAAATTTCTGTTTAATCTAATATCCCTCAAGAAATGGTCTGTAGCTTTGTCTTTAGTGTCCTAGGGCAGGAAGGCAGGAGGTGGCTGATGACGTAATTCATAGCACAGGGACACAGCAACTCCCCCACAGAATCCCACCTAACTTTCCTGAGGTTAAACAGAGCTGGGTGAGGAGCCCAAACAGCCTCCCAGCTCCAACCACAGGGAAGCCTCAACATAACCACATCACATCTCCACTCTCCAATTCAGTGCGACCTAACCTTGCATTTGAAGCCAATCAACTAAGAACAAAAAGAATCTTCAGTCTTTTCAAGGGAGCTTTACGTTTTCAAGAGCTAATGATTCCACAGCAGAGACAAAAAGGAGAATGAGCAAGGGCCATCTAATGATACTGAGTAAAACAATCAGGTAAAGAGAGTCTTCAGGGAATGAAAGAATAAGTGAGTTGACAGAACACACAGAACCCAGCTTGGAACAAAGTGGGCTTTTGAAAGGCCTCTAATAGAGGCACTGCATTTCACTATAGAAAATGAAAGTGTTCCCTGTTATAATGCACAAAAATGGCTAGGTGAGCTGGGGGCTTCCTGAAGCCACAGGGAAACTTGGAGATAAGTGGTACCAGAAAAGTAGACACGGATGTGTGTCTGAGTAATAGCCACATCCACAAAAAAAAAAAAAAAAAAAGAAAGAAAGAAAAAAAAATCACTGCTGTCCAGTCAGATCCGACTCAGAGTGAACCCCCCTTGGGTTTCCAAGGTCGTATCACTACAGAAATAGATTGTCCAATCTTCCTTCTGAGGAGTGGCTGGTGGGTTTGAACAGCCAGCCTTCTGGTTAGCAGTCAAGTGCCTTAGGTACTACGCCACCAGAGCTCCCAATAGCCAGGTAGGGACAAAGAAAAGCAAGGCCCAACTTCCTGGGTTGGAGCATAGCATGCAAACCACACAGAGCATCTACCTGTAATTAGTCCTAGCTCATGCCTCCTACGAGCTTAGGATCTGGATCTCTCTGGGCCTCAAAAATGTAATTTATACAATACCACTTACCTTGACACTGGTATCCCTGCTTTCCTATGACACCCCTGAAAAGAAGAATACAATCCTTTAAGAAAATGCAATTTTACTAGTCCCCCTAATCTGGCCACCAGCCACCATACACCAAGGATCTTGGGGGCCCCGCAAGCATGGAGGATTCACTCCTATCTGCAGAGTATCTGAGAATGCCTCTCTCTGAAGGCCACAGAGGGCAGTGGCTGTGCTCAGAGTATGGCCAGGAGTGGTCAATTTGAGTGCTTGATTTCCTATATACATGGCCATTTGAATGAGGGCAGTATTGTTCTGGAAAGCTATAAATTACCCTGCTTGCCCTCAGCAGGCCTCAGTCAGTGGAATGTACTCTCTCTCATGGGTAAAAGGGACCTTACTCATCTCCTACCACCAGGCATGCTCTGTGGGTTCCCTAATGGTGGAGGAGGGCTGTGGCTGGTAGCATATTCTCTGGGCATTCTAGAGACAGCCAAGGGTCATGGGTCAGTCTGTGGCCAGGATTGGGGTTCACTGTATAGTTTGGGTTAAGGCAAATGAGAGAGGTTTCTTCTGTGACCAGAGTAAAGGTCTCTCTGGGGCACGGTTGAGGGTCAAGGATACAGAACAATCCAACCCACTTGCTCTTAGCCCTGAACTCAGTACACCGACATTGACTGCTCAGGGAGCTCCCTGAAATTCCCAGCCCAGCTAGAGAAGCCACAAGTCACTCAGACTATATACTTCAGGAAGCCTTAAACCTCAGTGGGGTTCACCATGGAATTAGAGGACACCTGAATCCATAAGACTAAGCTTTCAAAACTTCCTCCCTAGCCCTCATTCACTAATCATTCAATTCATGACCAAAATACAAATGGAAGACAGAGGGTTAAGTCAGCTCTTAGAATGAGGTGTCTATGGGTAGGAAGAGGGCATTATTTCCACTTTAGTCAAGTTAGGTTTGCTGTGAACTGACTTGTTTCAGGCATACATGCCAACCTCAGTGACTGAGGATAAGACAAGCCATTGCTTGACACCACAGGATTCCAGGGGTCCTCAGAGCCCAATTTGCCTGTCTCCTGGCTGAGTTCATACTGCAACTTGGCCTCACTTGCTCTCCTCTGCCTGATCCAAGAGTATTGTCAGCCTCTATGCTAGCACTAAAGAGCTTGCTACAAAGTCTAGTGGAGTGTCAGGAAGAGCCTAAGCTTTAAGCCAGGCTAACCAGAGCTGAACTCCTGTCTCTCACACTTCCTAGTGGAGGGCCTCAGGCAAGTCTCTTCAGTTCTGAGCCTCAGTTTTGTCCACAGTGGAATGGGGTTAATAACACATAATTCACAGAACAGTGGAAAGAATTCAATCTATATTTCCAGTGTCTGACTGAGAACCTAGCATCTGGTGAGTAGTTAATAAAGTCCCCTCCAGCCCTCAAAGCCAATGTTCCTTATTGTCCTCCACCTACTACCTACCTGTTTTTGCCTATCAAAATCCTAGACTTCATGAAATGAGAAATGCCACTTCCCCAGGAAGTCTCCCCTGCATACCCAGTCAACACTACTCCCTCACTTCTCTGAATTCTCACCATCTTAGCAGAACCACTGCTAGGACTCTCACTAAGAATTGCTTTGTAATACAAATATAGGCAATCCTAACCTTTATTATAGAAGAATACAAATTTATTCAAATTTATACAAATAAATAATTTTTTATACAAATAAATATTTATACAAATAAATCAGTGAGACTAATAGAATGGATCCTCATGCGCCTGTCACCAAGTGTCAACAATTATCAATACATGGCCAGTCTTACTTCATCCTTACCTTTAGCCCCTTCCCCACTCCATCTACATTATATATGTTTTAACAAATCCCACACATAGTATTTCATTTGTAAATAATTCAGCATATCTTTCTAAGATAAGGATTCTTTTTGAAAAAACACAATCACGGTTGAGTGAAACCTGTGAGAGCTGGAACTTGACAAGACTGACAAGTTTCTCATCTTTGATAGGGTGTGGTCTTATCACTTTTCTATTGCACATTTTAGTGGAAAATACTTGAGTTTTCCTTCTCTGACAGGTTTCTGCTTTACACAGGTTCCAGCTTTCACAGGTTTTGCTACAGTATAATTGGTCATAAAATATTCATACTTTCAATAAATACAATGAAATACAATAATATGCAGTATAATCCTAAATATAAAGTCACTAGGAACCATGGTTTCGTCTTTCCTTGTATTCCCCCATATTCTAACACATCATTAGTCTTTCAGAAAAGTCTTCTGAAATCATATAAAGAAGAAATAAAGTACATTAGCACTTTCCAAATGAAGTCTATGATCGTCTGCCCTCCCCCTTTCCCCATGTCTCCCCAAAGAGAGAGGTAGCTGGGGGTTCCTGGAGAGGGGCACTTACCAGATGAAATCTCTGCAGTGGGAGCAGTAGGTGGGCTGCCGAAGGTAAGTGGCCATGAACTTGTGGCCATTGACCTGGTGGACCCTGCGCCTGACGGCCCCTTGCCGCTTCCTCGGTCGCATGCGCTCCCTGAACACACGTTCTTCATTGTCCTTAGGGGCTGGGAAAGAACAAGAGCAGAGAAGGAAATTGAATCTTGGTTAAAGCAAAAACCAAACCAGTTGCTGTCAAGTGGACTTTGACTCTTGGTGGCCCTGTGTGTGTCAGTGTAGAACTGTGCTCCATAGGGTTTTCAGTGGCTAATTTTTCAGAAGTAGATCAGCAAGCTTTCTTTCAAGATTCCTCTGGGTGGACTTTCAATAAGCAGCTGAGCAAACAACCATTTGCACCACCCAATGACTCCTGAGTCTCTGTCACTGACCCTTAAAACTGATCTTCTGCAGGAGGTCTACTCCATCCTTGAGAGATTTCAGGTGGGGCTGGGTAGGAGGCAAACTTTGCTGGTAGAGTTTCAGGCGTGTGTGGAGGAGAACCACTGCAAAGCTCCAGAGACTAAGCCCTGTCCCAGGTGGGAAGATATAGCACTATGTATGTGTCCCACACCAGCTGCATCCTCAGAATCCATCCATACCCAAACTCTGCTACATGTTTGACCACACCTTTCCTACCTATACCATCTGTATGTCTGAAAGGTACAGGGCTCAAAAGGCTCAGGATTCACATCTCAGCAGTGTAACCTTGGACATATGGTCTGTACCCTCCCTGAATCTCTGAGGGCATCTCCCTCAGAAAAGCAGGGATAATGGTGGCTACCACACAAGGCAGCTGGGAGGACTCACTGACATAAGATTCATAGGTACCTGACTGCTTGACTCAGAGAAATAGGTGACTCATACATACTGCTTTTCTTCTTTCTCCCTCTTAAGCAGACTAAGACAACTAAGAATGTTTTTCCAAAAGTCTAAAGGAAAATGAGATAGAACATTGGGAAAGCAGACAGTTTCCCAAATGCTCAGCTCCGTACCTACTACCTTAGTACCAGTGAAGACAAAAGGACCTTTCTCATTTCTTCCTTCCCTCCACCTTAGAGTGTGCTGCTGTGGTATAGTGAACCACTTAGTATGGATCTCCCAGTCATGGTCTTTATGACTCCCATCAGATGACTGGGTGGAACTATGCAAATATAAGTGCTTGTGGCCTACCAAGGGATTGGATAGCTTATGAATAATGTAAATAAGATACATGGCACCCTTGCGAGAACGGGGTCATATAATAAGGCGTGTGGAACTGTAGTGTGGGGACTGGTCACTTTTGTCATTCTGCTAGGCTTAAAATGAGCCCTGCTAGAGGCAGAGGGAGGGATCTCACTGCCATCAAGAAAGAAGAGCTGGAGGTGGAGTGGAACATGTCCTTGGACCTGGGGTCCCTGCACTGGACCTCATTGGCAGAGAGCTGGCAGAGACAACAGACAGAGATACAAAGAGGTATGAGACACAGTGGCGGGCTCGCCAGCCCACAGAGCAAGAAAGCTGAATGCCTTTGGGAAAGAGGTTGCTGACAAGAGTGGGGTGCACCTAGGTGTACCTATCAGCAGAACTAAAAGAACTCTGTAACACTAGCCAGAACAGGGAAGAGGCCAGGGTCAGAAGCCAAGGGTCAGAGATGTGTGCCTGAGGGCATAGCAGAGGAGAGGCTGTCCTGATTGAAGAATGCATCTTGAGCATGTTCCTGAACCTGAATTGTAGCCTATTATTTCCCTAATAAACCTCATAATCATGCATATTGCCTGTGAGTTCTGTTTGGTCACTGCAATGAATTATCAAGCCCAGCAAAGAAGTAGTGAGTGCTATAGGAGGGACAGTTAGTGTCAGACTTGGTAAAAAGGCTGACGGGTGGTGGCATGTCTGGCCTCATAGGAATATGCCTTAGGCTGCTAATGGTGATTCTGTTTTCTCTTTGTAAACTTTGAAGACGTCAGAGAAGGATGTCACTTCCATGCCCTTTCTGTAGCCCTAGGCTTAAGAATGCTCTGTGTTGTTGTTGTTGTTATGTGCCGTCGAGTCAGCCCCGACTCATAGCGACCCCTCCTTGGGTTTCCGAGGCAGTATCACTACGGAAGTAGGATTGCCCAACCTTCCTTCCGAGGAGTGGCTGGTGGGTTTGAACCGCCAGCCGTCTGGTTAGCAGGCAAGGGGGCTAAAAAATAGCCATAAAAATAATGACGATGATGATAAGGGCTAACATTTATGCTTACTGTATATAGCAGGTGTTATACATGTAATAAACTACCCAACATGAAAGGGTAACTCTTATCTCCACTTTACAGGTATGGAGACTGAGGAACAGAGAATTTATGTAACCTGCTCTTGAAGGCTGGGCAATCCTACTTCTTTAGTGATACCACCTCAGAAACCCAAGGAGGGATCGCTATGAGTTGGGGCCGACTCGACGGCACATAACAACAACAACAACAGCAACAGCTCTTGTTAATACAGGTAGTAAGTGGTGGAGTCCAGATTCTAATCCAGGGGGGAGAGACCAATGTTTGAATGTCTACTCTAAGGGACAGCCAAGATCCCCTATAGCACAGCCCAAGTATCTGAGTAGCTCTCATTACAGAAGGCTTCCCTGAGGGACCAGGAGGCCTCCTTGAGTTGCCTGCCAGGTAGCTGGTGGGAAATACACTGGGCCAGCTCCATGTCCCCAATGCCTCCTACACCAGCCACAGTGCCTGGAATCCCACCTAACAGTGTCAGTCCTTGGGGTAAGAAGTATTGCTTCCTCCTGGACCTCTTTCAAAATAAGGCTTCCTGCAGTGGAGGTCACATATTTGACCTAAACATCTGTTTAACCACTAGTCCAGGAGAGATGGGTAGAGGGAAAATAAAAAGGTAAGAAGAGGGACCAAATGCCCAGCATGTACATTCAGAGAGAAGCAGCTTCCAGGCAATGGGGGCTCTTTAGTAGAAAGCTGTCCCCAGTGTTCCCAGGCTACATCCTCAACACAGACCTTTATGACCCAGAGAGGGGTCTGCTTGCTGGGTCCTGCTTCCTTTGCAAATGGTGCTTAGTGTTTCAAGAAGCTTCTAAGACTACCTTCTGAGTATTGTAAGCACATCATCCCCCACCCTGCCACAATTCAAATTCCCACCAAAAATTGCAGTTCTGTTTCTACGTAGGTGCGCACACACACTCACACTCCACAGAAACATGGTGATCATCACTCAACTGTGTATTTACAGGTGATTTGATTTCTGCTTCATATTTTTCACTGCATTCAGAATGTTTTACTCCTTTTTCCAAGCATGGAAAAAAAAAAAAAGTTGCAATTATAAAATCTCTTCAGTAGTCCTTCTTGCTAAAAGTCCGATATACAAAAATCCAACCCCAAAACCACAGTCCTGGGCAGTTATGTGAGGGGATGAGAATTCTCTTTGTCAAAGGCCTCCTTCACTTCCTTCACAGAGAAGTCACCAGGAACACAATGAACACAGCTTCCTGATGTAACTGAGATGCAACTTGATTTACAAATCCCTCACATTTACTGGGTGCTCTGGTAGCGTAGTACCTAAGGCACTTGACTGCTAACCAGAAGGCCGGCGGTTCAAACCCACCAGCCACTCCTCAGAAGGAAGATGGGGCAATCTACTTCCGTAGTGAAACTGCCTCAGAAACCCAAGGAGGGGTCACTATGATGCTAGGAAACTATATTCTCAGTTAAAATGGTGATGAATCCAATTCTAATTTTCTAAAGGAGTGCCGGTGAATTGGGGCTGGAGGTGTGCCCAATGATGTCATTTCTCAACTTCGTACAGAAACGACAACCAACACCAAATCAAATGCTCTGAACTGTACTTACAGTGATTTAATAATGAAGTGCAGCAACCAATTATCTCATCTCCATATAATTTTAAAGACCACTTGTAGGGTCAAATGGAGACCTGAGAGAGGCTGCTTAAAGCTAGTAAGGGTGGCCATGAGAAGAGCACCAAAAGTGAACATGTAAGCTGGGTCTGTCTGAAGTGGACTTCCCAAAAGGTACTACTACTCCTGTCACAGAGCACATCTGCACTGCCTTTGAAATCAGGTTTTTGTTCAGAATGTGGGGAAACTGAAGGCTAGGAGGAGGAAAGGACACGGGTAAAGTTAATCTCCAAATGAGAACTGTGTACAAAGCTACACTATAGAAAGGAGAAGTGGGTCAGAGCCTGTGGCTGGTGAAAATACCCCTATCCTGCTGTCCTGTGGAGAAGGTAGCCAAGTGTCTGGCCAAAGGGGCCTTGACCCTGTGTTCAAGAGCAGCCTTACCCACAGGGAGAGGAGGAAGGGGCCAATATGATGTGAAGAGGGGAGTCACAAGGTTCCACAGCTCTGGAGAACATCCGTGCTGGGGCCTGGAGGCCACCACCAGAAACAGATTCCTTGAGCATTTCCCACTGCTATAAAGTGTCTCTTTTAAAAAGTGACTTCCAGGTAGGGGTGATAGCATTGGGTGTGTGCATGTATGTGTGTGTATGTGTATGTTATGAGTGCAAAATAAAATATATATATATATACATCTATGATAAAGAAGCTCTGGTGGCACAGTGGTTAAAGCCTTTGGCTGCTAACCAAAAGGTTGGTAGTTGAATCCACCAGCTGCTCCTTGGGAGAAAGATGTTAACAGTCTGCTGCCATAAAAATTTAGTCTTGGAAACCCAACAGGGCAGTTCTACTCTGTCCTATGGGTCACTATGACTTGGAATTGACTCAATGGCAGTGGGATTTTTTTTGGGGGGTTATATATGATATGTGTGTATAATACTAATAAATACATGAAATATGTTATATACATTTATGTGTATCATATAATATACAGTATATAGTGCTATATGTCACATATAATATATACAGTGTTTCTGTGTCTGTGTGTGTATGGTTTTCCCGACCTATTTGAAAGTTACAGACTTAGTCACTCTTCAACCCTAAATACTTCAACTTTATCCCCTAAGACATTTTCCTACATAATCACAATATCGAAGTCAGGAAATTTAACACTGATATGATATTATCTAATATATACTTTGTATTCAAACTTCACTGGTTGAACCCAAAATGTACTTTATAGATTCTTTTTTAATCCAGGAGTTAAACAGAGCTCATGTCCTGCATTTGGTTACC